AGTGGCTGCGGAGAAGGCCGGGGCTGCCATCTGGGAGCGGCAGCTGGACAGGACCCCAGAGTCTGCAGTCAAGCCCAGACAGGGTCCCTTCCCCAGACCTGGTGCCAGCTCTTTGCCAGGGCAGGCTTGCCTGCACGCCCCCCAGGTTCTCAAGCTCAGACAGGGTTCTTTCCTCAGACTTGGTGCCAGGTCTCAGCTGCGGTGGGCTTGTCTGCACCCCCAAGGTTCTCCTGTGGTCTGGAGTGTGGGTCCGGGACCCTGGGACTCGCCCCCTAGAGCCCTGGGGACACCAGCCCCAGGCCGTGGGGGACCCCCTGTCATTCCCACTCCTGCCCTTGGTCCCTCAAACTCCAGCCCCTGCCCCTTCTTCATTCTATGCCTGTGACGCTGACACGAATTCTGGGGAGCAGGAGGAGGGTCCTGGGAGAGGCCCAGGGTCTGGGCAGTGGTGGTTATTCGTCCCCATCCTGGAGACCAGTCCAAGCATCCCATGGCAAAGCCTCTTAGGCATCCCCTTTCAGGAACCCCCTGCATCCCACCTCTGCCCAGCAATGGACTCCAAATGACCTCAAGTCCTTTACCTCCCCTGCCTGACCGGACAAGTAAGGGTCCCGAGGAGGAGCCTTACTTTACCACCTACTGCCACATGCACAGGGCACAACCCACACCCAGGCCTCTCCAGCAGGCACCTCCCTCACCAGTGCCCCTCCCAGCTCCCACAGTTCCTCCTGAAGCGTCCAGGCCAGCCCTGCCACCTGCCCTCCTGCTGGGCGGAAGGAATGGACCTCATGAAGAGCCCCGTTAGTGCCCAAAACCCTGGGGGCTGAGGCCAAAGTCCCCACCCCACTCAATGCCTCCAGGTCAGCCACTGCCCCTACTCCAGCCCTTGGTGTCCCCAGGGCCCCAGGCCTGATTTCCCTCTTGAGGTTTCGTCAAGGGTACATGGGGGTCCCGTGCTGAACCAGCAGCCTCCCTTGAGCTCAGCACCGAACAAGTCTGAGTGAGAACAGAGCTGGAATTGAAACCTTTAATCTGAACATCATCTGTGACTACATTTTTCCATCATTTTTATAAATTGGGGGACCCTCATCCCAGTTGGCAGGGCACACCCCAAGACTGCCCCTAGGGCCCTGGCCTGGGCCCAGGTCTGGGAGCTGCCGCTGGCAAGCCTGCTGTGAGTGGCGGTCCTGGAGCTCAGGTGCCCCTGGTTCCTCTTCTGGCCCAGTGGTCTTCACCAGGCCTCGAGCAGGGGGCTAAGAGCAAGCACCCCCTTCTTGAGGATGAGGTTTCCATAGAGGGCTGTCTCCCTGCAGAGGAGCCAAGCCCAGCACTGAGCTGGGCTGTAGGGCCAGGGCGCCAAGACCCTGCTCCAGCCGCTGGGGGCCAGAGCAGACCCCGTCTACTTTCACCCACCTGATGCTCAGGCAAATGGGGGCCCTGCCCACCCAGCTTCCTCCCTTGTCTCTCCACTCTTCGGGACATCTAGCCTCAGCCAGGCAGAAGCTGAGAAGAGGGCGGGGGCAGCTCCTGGGGGCCCTGGTGGGGACGGGGGCAGGTCTGGGCCAGCCGGAACTCACCCCGTTGCCACAACAGCAAAAGCCTTTTTAGCTCGCTCATAAAACTCAAACCTCTCTATCTTTGCCAGGGCTCTCTGGAAGACAAAATGGCAGGGTTGGAGGGAACCTTGCCCAGAAACCCTCATGGGCCAGCCCTGGACTCCCCAGGGCCCCAAGCTGGGCGGGCACCAGGAGGTGGGGCCCCTGAGCTCCATTTCCCCGGCCCTCCTGCTGCGGGGGCCCCAGGGACACTCAGCCTCTGGCTCCCAAGGCCTAGAATGGGGGCCCCAGGACATGGTGGACGAGGAACCTGCCATGCTTGGTGTCTGCCCGGCCTGGGGCCACCCAGCCAGCTCAGCAGACTGTGGAGACCCTGCCAGCTGTCCTGGGGTGTCCCCTGCCCAGGACAAGAGCCCCTGGCCTCCTCTTATGGAGATCCTGCCTGAGGCCTGCCAGTGGGTTGCCCAGGAGAGTGGGCCTGTCCCCTTGCAGGGCAGGGTGGGAGGGGGCTGTGTGACACAGCACCCAGCTAGGCCTCTGACCATAGCCAGGATGGGGCAGGAGACCTGGGATGGGGGCACCCCCCAGGGGAGACTGAGGAGGGGGAGGGCAGGCATTCTGAGTCCCTGGGCTCCACTCACAGGCTGTGGTGGGTGAGGCCCCCCCAGCAGGTCAGGATCCTGGCGTGGGCAGAGGAGGAAGGACCAGGTGCACCTCTTCCACCCTGGCTGGTGAGGGAGTGCCCAGTGGCCGGGGGTTCTTAGGGTGGTGGGTGGGAGGCTGCTTGAGGACAGAGCGTAGGGCTCTGCTTTTGGCCCTCCTGAGCCTCGGGGAGACTGTCTCTGGCTGGTTTCCCACAGTTGTGGCTGCAGACTCACCGAGCAGCCAGCCCTGAGTAGGATGGACTCGTATTCTGTCCACACCGGGGTCTGCAGGCCTCTCTCCTTGTCGCTGGGCACCAGCTCCATGACTGCAGCCTAGAAGAAGGGGTCAGCTCTGGGGCCTTGGGGGTTGCCAGCCTTCCTGGTCAGGTGACCAGTCGGGACTCCCCTGGTGAGGGTCAGGACCCCCTTGGGGACACATGGCTTCCCACTCCTCCAAGGTGGGTGGACCCTATGAAGCCTGACAAAGGGGAAACCGAGGCACAGAGCGGCAGGGTGCAGGGGTGACTCGGCCCTCACCGGACTCTCCACATAGGTGTCCAGGGGCAGCAGCTTCAGCACGGCCTCCAGAAGCTGCGGGATGCCCAGGCCTGGAGGGCAGAGGGTGTGGCACTGAGTCTCCAGCCTGCTCGCCCACCTGTGGGCACCCTTCACACCTGGGCTTCGCTGGCCAGCCAGCCGGCAAGCATGAACGTGGGGCCAAGACAGGCCACAGAGGAGCTCAGAGCAGGGAGCACGGCCCACCCGCCCTGCCCTGGGGGACCTGGGGCTCGCTCACCGTCTGCACGGATCTCCATGGGCCCACACTGGCAGACGGAGGAGGCCGGGAAGTTCAAGTCCGCGAGAACTAAACAGCCGGGAGGACAGCCCGCGGTCAGCACCTATGCCCCGCTCGGGGTCGGCGCCACCCATCCTCCCACCCAGTCATGGCGGCAGATCGTGGGTCACGAGGGGACCGGCCGCCGTCAGAGTCCTCAGGGCTGGAGGCCAGGCGGGGAGGCGGGAGGACAAGGTCCGCGTCCGGGAGGCGGAAAGGCGTCAACAGCTGCCCGCGAGGCTGTCGGGTCAGCGGCGGCGACCCGGACCCGGCGGACGCCCCAGGGGCCAGGGGACGCGCGGCTGCCGCCATGCCCGGACCAGGCCCCCGGACACACAGCCCCTGCCCGGGACCCCAGGCCCCAGGAGGAGAAACGCCCGAGCCCTCGGGGGAGCCCAGGCGCCGCGGCTCTCGGGCCGTCCGGGGAGGGACGGGGGGGAAGCTCCGGCCGCCCCGCCCCGAGCCCCACGAGGTCGCAGCTCCCGGAGAATGCGGGGCAGGGGGCTTCCTGCCCGGAAGCGGGGTGCGGGGGAGGCCCGAGCAACGCCCGCACCCCGGGACCCCGCCCTTCCCGGGCGCGGGGCGCGGCCGCAACAGTCCGCACAAGGGTGACCAGGACCCCGGCCCGGGGGTCCCCGCGGAGCCTCCCTCGCCTGCCTGCCTGCCCCGGGGTGGTCCCCGAGGCCCCGGCCCGCTGCGCTCACCGATCTCGTCCCCGTGCCCCATCCGCGCCAGCGCGTAGAGCAGCTCGGGGGACAGCAGCGCGGGGACTCCCTTCAGCGCCACCATGGCCCGGCCGACGGGGAGGGCGGGGCCTAGGGCCGGGCGGGGCTTTATGGGGAGGGCGGGGCCTAGGGCCGGGCGGGGCTTTATCGGGGGCGGGGCCTAGGGCCGGGAGGGGCTTTACGGGGGAGGGCGGGGCTTTGCGGGGAGGGCGGGGCTTAGGGGTCGGGGAGCTTTATGGGGAGGTCGGGCTTTGGGGTCACAGGCTTGGGGCCCCGGGACCGGGCCTAGGGGTCGGCTGGCTGGGATCAGCTTGCAGCTCGCAGAGAGCCCCGAGAACCTGGGGACGCGTGGGCTGAGTTGGGCTGTGGGGGCAACACCCACCCAGCTCACGAGCGCCTCACCAGGTCCGAGCCTCTGGCACCCGCGCGTTGTGGCCGGGGGGCTCCTCAGTGTCCCTGCCCGAGCCTTCCACCTCGAGCTCCCTCAGGCCGAAGGGGTTCAGCCGCTGCCCCCTGCGACCTCCTCTCATGAGGGTCTCTGCCCTCCGACCACATCGTTCTGCCCTTAGGCCTGGCAGAATACCCGGAGCCCACTGGGTCCCTAGTGTTACAAGGGTGGGCAGCTGCACCTGGGCTTTCAGCCCACACTCCTGAGGGGCCACGAGTATGGGATGCGGGAGCGTGGGACATCGGACCCCCTGGAGAAGGTTCAGGAGGGCAGCTAGGCCCAACTTCCAGGCTCAGCCCCGAGAGCCAAGACACCTAAGAGTCCTCCATCATCCCCCAGTGTCAGCAGCCTGCAGCCCCCTGACCAGGATGGCAGCATCCTGACCTTTGGCCAGGCTCAGGCTGGCCAGGCCCTCCCTCCATGGAGCCACCTTCTTTCACCTGATTCCCAGCAGGACACCAGCTGTGGGCCAGCACTGTGGCCCTGGCCCTCAACCCTGGGATGACACAATGCTCCGAGGCCTGGCAGTTCCTAAAAAGTTCTGAAAATAAGTTTGTGAAAAATGACAAAGCCGTCTCAGAAAACCCAGAGGAAACAGTCTCCATGTTGAACTGCTTGGCTCTAGGAGACTGCCCCCATGGAAGTGACTTGGGCTGTGTCGGAAAAGCCTAGTGGGGCCACCCAGGCTGGCATCCAGCAGCACCTGAACAGCTGGCCCTGGGCTGGCCACTTGGGCAGAGAGAAGGCCAGGGCTGCCCAGAGCCTGCCAATGAGGGGCGGCTCTGCACCCAGGCCACCGGGGTCCCTGTGAAGAGACAGGAAGAAGGAGAAGCGTGGAGGTCCCCGGGTAGACAGGGGAAGAAGGAGAAGCGTGGAGGAGGTCCCCGAAGTAGAGACAGGAGGAAGGAAAGGCGTGGAGGAGGTCCCCGCGTAGAGACGGGAGGAAGGAGGTCCCCGCAGTAGAGACGGGAGGAAGGAGAGGCGTGGAGGAGGTCCCTGCGTAGACAGGAAGGAGAAGCGTGGGTGCCAGGAGCTGGAGGGAAGCAGAAAAGGGGTTTGGGAAAATGAAAAAGTTCTTGGACAGACGATAATGGCTACACAATGAGAATGTACTTAATGCTGCTGAAATGTGCACTTAAAATGGTTAAGACCAGCCTTGGCAACACAGGGAGACCCCATCTAAAAAAGTTAGCTGGCTGTGGTAGTGTATGGGTGTGGTCCCAGCTGCTTGGGAGCGGGAGGATCACTTGAGACCAGGAGCCTGAGTTTGCAGTAAGCTGTGATCAAGCCACTGTGCTCCAGCCCCGTCTCTAAAAGACATGGTTTAAGATGGTCAAGTTTTGTAGCATGTGTTATCACAATACAGAAGAATGCACTGAAACTGAACAGAGAGCTCCTTATGACAGAAAAACAAAGAAAACAGGGTTTCCTTCGTGCAGAAAAGGGCTCTGTGGAAGAGGGCGTGGGGTACCACTTCTGTAACAAGAAAGCCACCATACGTGCCTGTGCACGCGTGCAGGAGTGTGCGTGCGTGCACAGAAGTCTCCAGGAAGCCACACACCCAGCTATTCATGGTGGCTACCCTGGAAGTGTGACGTGGGGTGACTGACTGTGCAAACTTCTGCTTTGTTTGAAAGTTGTTGCTCACAAAACAAGTCTAAAAGAACAACATGACAGAATACTCCACTTCTAGACATGATACAGGGTGTGGTGTAACTGAATCACTGTCACTTTAACGTGCAGAGCGTCTGTGTGAAGGCAGCAGACAGTGTTTCCCTGGGAGCAACCCCGTTCTCTAACATAGGGACACAAGCACCCGCAGGGCTGCTTTCTGCCTGAACACAGCGTACCCAGAGGGGCTGGCGGGGGGCTCCTCAGCAGAATCTTAGATTTACAAGAAGATGCTCCCGTCAGATACAAACATGGACCCTCACAGGCTGGGTGAAGGAGACCTTCGTGCTGTGAGGGCCGGGCCATGACCACACAGCAGCTGAAGAAAAACTGCACGCCAGGGACACTGCCCTTGAAAAGAGGGTGATTTACTTGCTTCTAAAACTGACAGCCTATGCTTTTCCTCTCCAGGTGGAGGTGTAGGGCAGGGGCAGCTGCTTCTCACTGGTCTCTGAAGTTGGCCTTTCTCTTTTCCACAAACGCAGCCATCCCTTCTTTCTGGTCATCCTGGTAGGAAAAAGGAGAGAAACAGGTGGATGCCCGGTTTCCTCACAGAGCCCAATGCCAATGCTGCCCGGGTATCCCTGGCCCTGCCTCACTCCTCACGCTCACAGGGGCCCAGGGGGCCGCAGAGGGGACTCTGCGGCAGGAACACCTGCCCAATCAGGTCTGGGCCAGGGCACAGGGACTTCTACTGCCTCTCTGCCAGGCTGGGTGATGGTCATTCAGGAGCCACCATGTATGTCAAATCAGCTCACATCTAAAGAGCCTCAGATGCATGGCTGGCCATTCACCAAGTCATCAAATGGACAACGGGCTACCGTGTGTCACGGAGCAGGAAATGAGAACTCAACTCTGCATCTGTCTTTTCCCATGCTGGGTACATGTGTGCATGTGTCCCCAGGTGCGCACGGGCGCGCACACACACACACCCACACCCCTGCACCCCTTCCTCAAGTGCCCACGCTACTTTTAATTTTTATTTTACAGAACAATTAAAACACCTAAGTATGACTTTCTTACAGTGAAAAAGATGAAGTAAAATGGTAATCTCGCTGGGCACAGTGGCTCATGCCTATAATCCCAGCACTTTGGGAGGCCGATGCAGGCAGATCACTTGAGGTCAGGAGTTTGAAACCAGCCTGGCCAACATGGTGAAACCCCATCTCTACGGGCCAGGTGGCGGGCACCTGTAGTCCCAGCTACTCAGGAGGCTGAAGCAGGGGTCACTTGAACCCAGGAGGCGGAGGTTGCAGTAAGCTGAGATCACATCACTGCACTCCAGCCTGGGCAACAGAGCAAGACTCTGTCTCAAAAAAAAAAAAAAAATTATAATGGTAATTAGAGGGAATTAGAGGAATTACTTTAAATTACTGGCAGAAATCTTATAAAATATTGCCCTAAAACTTCAGCTTATCTTATTAGAATAAATTTGAACCCATTCCAAATAATTGGGATGATCTAAAAAAATTACGGGTAAAATGAATTACATTTTTTACAAAAGTCAATTTTTTGAGACCAGGTCTTGCTCTGTTGCCCAGTTGGACCCGAACGACCCACCTCAGCCTCCCAGGAAGTTGGGACTACAGCTGCTCGTTACCCACCCTGCCGAAGCTGCTGCCGGAGGGTGCAATTCACAGACCTTCACAACAGGAAAAAGCCCCTACGGTGTCCACACTTTCGAACTTCCACACACTCTACTTTTTTGTTAACATTAAGACCCGCTGATAGAACGTATCTGATCCCACCAAAGGTAAGGCTGACAGTTCTGACAGAAAGAAACGATACTTAATGATAAAACGTAGAAGGAAATTCCTAGCAACTCATGTGACTGGATATGCTTGATTCTCCGGTTGAACACTGTTTACTCACAGTTGCAAAGGTTGAATGAAAGAGGGTCTTCTCCAACTTCCTTCCTTCTGTTAACGTCATTTCAAAAGCTGGAAAATAAAAGTCCTGGAGTTATGAACCAAGGTATTAAATGCAGAACTTTTCCTGCATGGTGACAGGAAGCCCTCCGCACTGACCCATGCACACTTGTGCTTTCAATGTGGCCTGGGAAGCCTGGCCCCTCTCACAGGCCCTGCCCCAGCTGAGACCAGGCAGAAGCAACAGCTCTCCTATGGCCCCCAAACGTCACACCAGGTGGCCCCGGGCCCCAGGAAGGGAGAGGAACTGGATCAAAGGTGGGATGGCAAACTGTGCCCATGAGGAGAGGCTCTGAAGCAGCAACGGGACTGCAAGCAGAGAAGGCAACTGAGGACAAAGCCAGAAAGGACAGCACGGGGGCCAGAGCCGCGCGGAGCCGGCACCAAGGACGCCTGTGGCTCGGCTCATTCCAGGCCCCTTCTCTGCATGAGGCCCGAGTGCACAGGTGGAGGCCGTTGCCGCAGTGCCAGGCCTGGAGCCAGCGTCCTCTCCCAGCAGAGCACGACCTTGCCAAACGCCTTGGGCAACAGCAGCCTGTTTCTGAAATGCTCCCCTCACTGTATCCTGCCTCAAGCCAACAGCAAGCCCAGGGATGGCCACACTCGGGATAAACATACTCAGGGAGGCTGGGAACCTGCCTGGGGCCACCCACATCTGAACAGACTCAAGCAGCTAACAACCATCTCATTCCACATGCTGAGAATAAACAGTGACATTAAAACTTGAGCATTTCTGAGGAGGGTGAAGGTCAGATCCACTTCCCTGGCAGAGGGAGAACTAAAGGAATCCAGGCCAAAAATGAACAGCATGGCATCAGCCCGCCTGCGTAGCCACCTGCCAGGTGCAGACACAGCCTCCAGCCCCATGTCCCGGCAGGGGAACCGAGCCTCCTGTGAGCAAGACTATTTTACTTTTGGGACCTCTGCTCCCTTCTCAGCCTTTCCCTGCCATGACCTGTGCTGCCCTCGCCTCCCAGGCCTGGCTCCGTTCTTGGGCCCTGGTACGAAGGGGAGCTGGGAACACAGTGGAGTTCCTGAGTGCACGGCCAGAAACCACAGTTCTACAGACAGCAGAACTGAGACACTGAGAACCCCAGCATTTCTACCCAGGAGGGCTTCAGGCACACTCATTTGCAGCCAGAAAACGTGTCCCTCAGGAACATTCCTGACAGCCACAGAGACCCCTCTAATTTCTCTTCCTGGCAGGATCCCCTACCTGCATTCACTGATTCTTTGGCCATTGCTACTATAATTTTAGAATTGCTGGCAATTCTTTCTGCACACTGGATGGCTTCTTCCACCAGTGTCTCAACAGGAAAAATCTTGCTTACAAGACCTGAAACACAAGAAAGTCAGTGAGTGATGTGCAGAAACAGTAGGTGTCTATTCCTTTGCGAGCAAGTGGCCGCTGGGGAGCAGCGTGCTAGAGCACCCCGGCCTCCTGGCACTGGGCAAGGGTGGCTTCCACACGGGAGCACCCCGGCCTCTGAGGGCTGGGCGAGGGGGGCTTCCACACGGGAAATGCCGCATGCGCCCTGAGGGGGCTGAGTCCTCCTGGTGCTGCGACCTCTGTGCTCTGAGACATGCAGGCCAGGCTGTCCACAGCTCCAACGGTAGAGGCGGCCAGACACAGGGACTGTGGTCACCAACAGGGCAGTGGGAGGACTACCTAGTGAGGGCCCAGGGATGCCCTCTGGGGACAGAACTGCTGGGCTGTTACTCTGTACCAGGTGCTTACGTGTGGTTCCACTGCTGTACATACAGTTCTTCAAAACAAAAGGCAGGCAGTCTCCCAGGTCCTCAGGACCCAAAAGCTCATGCAACCTCCCTGGGGACACCTGGATGCAGCCCTGAGTCCCCGTGTGGCTCCCATGGGCAGCGCCAACCCGCACCTGCTTGCTTGGCATCCTGGGCTGAGATCCGGTCACCGGTGAGGACCATCTCCATCGCCAGCGACTTCCCAACAGCACGGGTGAGTCTCTGGGTGCCACCTGCACCTGCAGGGAGGGGCTGGTCACGGCTGGCACTGCAGCGACTGAATCTAAGAAGACATCACTGCTGCACAGCTGGCAAGTTCCAAGGGGCTTAAGATGGGCCCTGAGGCAAGGCCCACGGGGCAGAGGCTGGGCAGCACAGGACCCCAGGAACTTCAGGCACAGCCCCTTTTCAAGCTTAGGCCCCACATCTGGGGCTCGCCCAACACCCTGACATTGGAGCAAGGTCTGTGGCTCTGTGGTCAACATCTTGGAAGCTTATAGGCCTCGCTGACTCCAGGCACCGGTCCCTTGCATCAGCAGCTGCTCAAGGGATCAGACCCTGAAGAAATGGGTCAAACTCATAGCTCAAGGCCTCAGAATCTGCCTGGTCAAACTCAGAGGGCAGGAGAGAGCGCCCTGCATGCAGCTGTTCCCCTCAGGGTCTGAGCTCCTTCCTGGCTGCTTTGCCTGTGCCCACCCCTCCTACCAGGAGGACCCCGGGGGTAGAGGGTGTTTCTCTTTGCCCAGAGCCCAGGCTCTTCCCCCAGGTATGGTGAGGGGTCTGACTCCCTGCTCTGCTGAACTCGGTGAGGCCACATGACCTCTGTGGCCAATGAGATGGCAGTGGGCAGGACCTGAGGCATAGTGGGCAGAGCTCCCAGTGCCACCCAGGGTCACCATGTTCTCTCTCTGCCACAGACATGGATCACAAGCAAGAACTGCCATGGTTAGAAGCCAGTGTCACCCAGGACCAGCCTCTCCCAACACCATCATGTGTGGGACCTGGGGATGGCCACAGGAGCCAGACACGGTCCCGGGCCTCTGAGGCCCCCATCTGAGCTCTGTCACAACCACTTTAGCCTCTGTGGCTGTCTGCAGAGGGACCACTGACCAGACATGGGGGTCTCCATCCAGGGCCTCTGGTCAGATATGAGCCGTGGGCCCCGAGACACAGGCAGGTATTACCTAAAGCATCTATGCCAGAGACAGTGTCACACCTTACCTGGGATGGTCCCTAGTAAGATCTCCGGCTGTCCAAACTGGGCCTTCTCGCCGGCATAGATGATGTCACACATCATGGCAAGCTCACAGCCCCCGCCAAGCTGCAAAACAACTGGCGTCAGGAGGGTCTTGTGAGGGGAACCTAGTCAGAAAATCACTCACTTCTCATTCAAATTTTCCCTTTAAAAGAAACAGCGTCAGGGGTTGACAAAGAATAACATAGTGGCAGCAACCAGTTAACTGTTATGAAAAGTTAACGACAGATGGTTGATGCTGTTTACCGGAAACTGGCAAACATTCTAAAGGGCCAGATTAATATTTTCGGCTACGAAGGTCTTACAGGCCCTGCTGTGACGACTCGACTCTGATGCTGTGGCCCAAATGCAGCCACAGAGACGAGGTGCACAGGCGGGTGTGGCTGTGCTGAGAACACTCCATCTGCGGAGGCCTGGCTTACTAAGAAGGGAGCATCACAAAACGATCACAAGGGGAAATGATCACACTGCTTCTCGACAGGCCCAGACCAGCCTCAGCACTTCAAACAGTCCCAACACATACGACACAGAGCTTTTAAGGGGACCAAAAGAAGCCAGTTTATAGATATAGCTTAGGTTGAGGGGCAGAGACCAGCATTTAAACGATACTGAAAAGCCAAAACAAACACCGCTCTTCCGCTGCCCTGGAAGAGAGGCTTGCTGGGGAGAAGCTGCCAGGTGAACAGCCATAAAAAAACGGACGCTAGGACATGTCCTCTCCGCATGGTCCCTGGCTCTTCAGCACCACGAGGCAGGAAAGGAGGCAGCTGGCCTGGGAACTGAGGCCTCTCCAAGCAAACATCTGTCATGGGGTGTGCACAGAAGGGCTCCTTCAGCCGCGAGAGGAGGAGGCGCTCGGCAGCACCACTCACAGCATAGCCATTGACAGCAGCGATGACTGGCTTCTTGACCTGAGTGAGGTAGTCCCATTGGCTCAACAACGTTTGGAGGTAACAGTGCTGGAAACTCAGGTTCTGCATTTCCTTGATATCAGCTCCAGCTGGGAGTAGAAAGGGGGTTCCAGTTACCAGAGAACAGACAGCCCACCTGCCCTGTATCCCCCAGACCAACAAGGAGCTTCGGAGCACACCAGCCATGGGCACTGTGGCTGCTGGGCACGGCTGACACCAGGCCACGTGGACAGCTGTCAGGATGCTGTGGTGCCAGCCATAACTGAGGTCATGCAGAAGGGCCCTGGGGCAGGTGGCAGGTGCGAGGGAGGCGCCCACAGACGCTGGGCGTATTCGTCATCACATAAGCCCTCGACATACACAAAGCCTGACTGCCAAGGCCCTGAACCCCTGTAAAGAAGCGATTTTGCTGCACGTGGAGCACTTTTGGCGCACACAAAGCTGCTGGTGCAAGCAGTTCCCATGCCCATCTCCACTTTACGTTTGAATAAATCCCCAACCGTGTGCCTTTCCCTCACAGAGGTGCAAGTCAGGCCACACGTGCCTCCCACATCAGCCCAGGTACAAAGGCCCCCCACTGCTGTGCACACCTGCAAAGGCCTTATCCCCACCAGTGAGGACAATGGCCCCCACGGCTGGGTCCTCCTGGAAGGTCTTTAGTGCCTGATTGAGCTCCTCAATCAGCCCATTGCAAAGTGCATTGAGGGCCTTGGGGCGGTTCAGCTGGATCAACCCCACGGTGTTATTCTTCCCCCTTTTTTCTGCGATGATGTACTCAAAGTTAGGACCTAGGGCAAGAAGGCAAAAGGGGTATCTATTCACACAGGCATCAAACTGAGAAGAGGGGGGCTGGTCTTGGCCTATTGGGAAGCAGTGTAATCATTTCACATTGTGATTATTCCGTGATGCTCCCTTCTGGAAGGGATGTGGCCCCATCAGCGGATAGAGTGTGACCCCAAGAGGCCCTCTGAGGGCTCCCTGAGCAGTGCTCAGTGGCTCCAGGTGTAGCCGTCAGCCACATGGATATATGGTGGCCTCAGTACCATTCTCTCTGCTTTCACGTGTGTTTGAGCATGTCCTGAAGAAAAATTCCCAGCACAGAACATAGCCCACAGCCTCGCTCCTTCTCCCAAGAGGCCGTGGTCAGCTGTTCCCAGGACACCGCACTGGAGGCGTCCCTGGACTCTGCTGAGACAAGGCACCAGGAAGCGCCTTCCTTCGACAAATGCCAACAGGCGAGGAGCATAAGCCTCAAACAGGACAGAGCGCCAGCTCCTTGCACTTCGTACTGCCCTGGTGCCAAGACCTCTGGGCAACTGGGTGCAGGGTGGGGGCTGTGAAAATCCCGGGTGTTCCCGTGGCTCTAAGATCAGGCGCGGGTCCTGTGTAGCAGGCCAGCCTGAAAATGGGAGACACAGGCACATCTTGGGTTGGCCCGCTGTACAGGAGCTGCACCTGCTGGGCGGACAGCAAGGTGGGATGGAGACAAAGGACAATGGCGTCCCAGGGGTGAGAAGGTGAACCCGAAAAGACAAAAGTCCTGTGTGTTGGGTGCTTGCCTCCACTAGTGGCAAAACAGGGATCACAGTGCCGATCCCGTGGGTTGTTTTTGTTTGTTTGTTTGAGAGCAAGTCTTGCTCTGTTGCCCAGGCTGGAGTGCAGTGGTGCAATCTCAGCTCACTGCAACCTCCGCCTCCAGGGTCCAGGTGATTCTCCTGCCTCAGCCTCTTGAGTAGCTGGAATCACAGTCACGCACCACCACGCCTGGCTAATTTTTGTATTTTTAGTAGACATGGGGTTTCACCACTGGCCAAGGTGGTCTCGAATTCCTGACCTCAGGTGATCCACCTGCCTCAGCCTCACAAAGTGCTGGGATTACCAGCTTGAGGCACTGTGCCCCACTTTATCCTGTGGGTTTCTAGGGGTGGCTAGATCACAGGTGAAGTGTCTGGCAGCAGTGCCTGACATGTAAGACCCAGGAAAGGGCTGCTGATCACAGGTCAGGGTGCAGAAGTGGACGGCCATGGACAGCTTGGGGATGAAACCAACACAGCTTAGCCGTCCACTGGATTCATGGGGTGAGGGGGGAAGAGGAAGCAAGGGTCATTCCCCAGCCCGAGTCATGGGCAAAGATTCCTCCAGATGCTAGAGCAGGTGATGGCCGCGTTTGAGTGGGGCCCCGGGTGAGCTACAAGGGAGGAGGAGAGCAGCCCCCTGTGGCTGGGAGGAGGTGTCAGCCTTTCCCTTAGGACTCTCTGAGGGGTGGCCCTGGTCACGAGGCACCCAGGACGAAATGCACCTGCGCTCATGTTCTCAGGCTGGCCTATGACACAGGACCTAGGCCTCCTCTTAGAAGCAAGGAAGACTCGGGATTTTCACAATCCCAATCTGTGGCTATTTGGCAAGAGATCTTGGCACTTAGGCAGTACCAGCCAGCGCCCTCCCCCAGGACACAGCTTGGTGAGACGGACCTCCTGCAGAGCCATACTGGTTTAGGGGTGCGGGCCACCACGGTCAGGTGGGTGATGTCAGTGGGGTGGGGGCGGGTGCTCCCCCAGGGTCAGGCTGTGGGAGCCAGTCAGGTTGGGGGGGG